TTTAAAACTGGGAATCCACTATAGATAAAACAAATCCTAAGAACTCTTAAACAACTATGTCAAAAGGGCAAGATCCTTAAATTTTCAGCTTTTATTATATGGTGAAAATCCTAGAATTGTGCTTTCACATCTTTTTCCCACATCTTACTTTTTTCAGTGCCATTAAATTTCTTAGGCTGCTTAGTTCATGCCGACACCTTAGAATTTTCACAACTCTATAACAACTTCTAAAACAACCCAAGCTGAGCCACAGGGTTAACTGCATGCTTACTGCACCTCGGGGTCCTTTTCTCTACCCTGGCGGCTCTAACAGGAAGCCCTTGGACCAAGAGGCAAACAGACCCGGGTTCTAGTCTGGACAGTGCCAGTTGTTCTGGGATAAGGTTCCTAACCTCTCTGAGCCTGTTTTCTTATCTATAAAATGGAGGTAGCCTGTAGAGTCTACCTATGTGTAAAGTACTCGTTACATGGCCTGGCATACATAAGGTGTTCAGATAAGGAGAATCACTGCCTCTAAGGAACTCAGTGAGGAAATCTGGTAGTCTGGAATATGCGGTACAAAAGTTAAGACAGTCTTGTTTTCAGCTGGGGAGAAAATCCAGTAGAGCACTACAGGAAAAGATATTGGAAAAAAAACTCCAAAGATTTCAGCATGGCTAGAGGCCATAATTCGGGTCCCTGGAATCAGTGGGGTCTATTCCTTGGGGAGAGGCAGAATGCCCCCTTCCCGCACTATGAAGCCACTGCTCACTCAGATCTGACGGTTACTACCAAAGGAAGAATTAAAATCTCCACAGGTTCCTTCACCAAGCTTTGTTCAATGGCTTTTCATGAGGCCAGGGAAAGGGTCCTGACCAAGAGATGCTATATACTCGTTATCTTCATCAGCCATTCCACAAGAATAGCTAGGTAGGTAAAATTCATTTAACACTAAACTATACAGAACATTTCTAAAGGCTGGGAATCCAGGAGAGGGGTTAAATATGAGAAAGGCTGTTTATTGTATGAATACTCAGAGTTTCTAAGGAACAACTCACTCCTTGAATTTCTAGAGCAGCGCTGTGCAACGGAAATACAATCTGAGCCACAAATGCGAGCCAAAGATGTCATTTTACACTTTCTAGTAGCCACATTTTAAAAAGTAAAAGAGTGAAATTGATTTTATTTTATTTAACCCAATAAATCCAAAATGTCATTTGAACATGTAATCAATATAAAAATTAGTAATAAGGTAATTTATATCTATTTGGTCTTCATAAGCTTTGAAATCTCAATTCAGACTTGTCACATTTCAAGTATTCGATAACCACAAGTGAAGACCATATTGAACAGCGCAGTTCTAGAGTCACAGATACACACTAATTTTTGTATAAGAATAAATAATCTTTCTTCTACCTGAATCAATGCTTCCCTGAATAGCTACTCCTTTTTGGGGTCTCAAATAAATGCTTGTTGCCTCTCAAAAAAAATGAATAATCTTTTAATTTTGACACTTTAGCTAGTTTTGATCCTAATAAATTGAATGGAAAGGCTCTAAATTTTTTTTAAAAATGAGGGAAATTTTATAAATCTAAAAGAAACAACACGGAATACTATGAATAAAATCATTTTTTTGTGAATAAAATTCTTGATGATTTTAGTCATAGGATTGGGCTATTTATTTAGCCTTATACAAAAAAACAATGGTAAATTGTAAGTTTGATCAGTTGCTAAATGGTTTTCCAAGACTTTCTCTGGCATTGCAACAATATTTTCCTGTAATTGTTCCTGAAAAAACATGATGCTAAAAAGTGGATGTTAACAGGAAATATAAGGAATAGAGGAACTAAGTTAACACCAACACAAGGAAATAATCTGATAAGTCCAGAATGTGGAACACACTAAAATAATCAGTGATCTGATCTGTCTCCAAAAAAAAAGGTGGGGGACTGTTTTAGATTAAGAAAGATTAGACAGACATGATTACCAAAAGCAATGCATAAATCATGACTGGATTCTAGGGCAATTTAGAGACAACTGGAAAAACTTGAATATGAACTAGCTATTAGATGATATTAGGATCTTATTGTTAATTTTCTTAGTGGAATGGCATTAGACTTGAGTAGAAAAAAGTCCTTATTCTGAGGATAGGCATGTTAAGTATTTAGGAATGAGATGTCATGATGTTTGAAACTTATTTTCAAAGGTTCAGGAAAGAAAAAAGTCTACACATAAAGCAAATATGGTAAAATGTTAACAGTTCTTGAATCAAGGTGACAGCTATATAGGCATTCATTATACTACTCTCAACTTTTTGTATGTTTGAACATCCTCATCATAAACAAGAAAAAGGAGAGATAATTCTAGATTAAGAGACCTAACCAAATGTGCTGTACATGAACCTTGATTAAATCCTAAAAAACAAAAAAACACACACAAAAAAACCAAAAAAAAAACAAAAAACATTTTTGGGACAACTGAGAAAATCAGAAAATGGAGTAGATATTACATAATGTTAAGGAATGACTTAATTTCAACAATGGTATTATGGTTATGTAGATAAAATCCTCACTCTTGGGAGATGAGATGGGCTTGTTGAAGTAGTTAAGAACAAAGCATCATAACGTCTAGAGCTTTCTTTGAAATGGTTTAGCAAAAAAACAAAAACTTTACATAAAGGCATACACACCCTCTACCTATCCAGCTAGCTCAAGCTAATGTGGCAGAACGGTAACAACTATTAACCTACAAGGTATGTTTAACGGGTTATTACTTTACCATTCTTTTAGCTTTTTTGTATGTTTAGAAAGTCTCATAATACAAAGCTTTTAAAAAAAATTAAAGCTAAAAAGTACTTATCAATATTCCATTTTTCTAAATTTCAGCAAATAGGATAATTATCACAAATCAAAACTACCTACCCTTTTGCCCACAGATTCTCATACTAAAAAAGGACCAGCACTGATGTAACAGGTCTTTACTTCTGTGCCCTTTCTGGCACTGAGCATATATAATGGATATTAAAATGGCCTTGAGACCTGCAGTGTGCTGAGCACAGGAAAAATAGATGGGTCCCATTTTCAAGGAGCTCAAAATAGTATGGTGTAAAATAGTCCAAATTCTTATTTTCCAAGCAAAATTTCCATTTCAGTTTGGTTTCTGAAGTTTTATTTCTAGAGATCAGGTCTCAAATCTGACTTAGTGTTTCTCAACATTTAGAAAGCCATAGATTCCTTTGATAAACATTAACTCTTGTACACTGCAAAGACAAGAATCACTAACTACCTTCCATTTATCTTACCAGTATTATTAAAATCAAACTGAAAGATTTCTCTGTGGCCAGGGCCTTATTAAGTTTTCCTAAGAAATTAATTCAAGAAGGAAGCCTTAACAACATTTTCATTCTGATGAGATTCACAATACCTGGCCAATGGGTAATAATCACCTCCTATGCTGTGTATGCAAACAATCCATCAGAAGATACAATCAATGTTTTTGTACCATTTACAAAACTACCCAATGGTATTAACTTTCAGCCCAGCTGCTGTCACTATTGACTACCCTAAACTGATAATTGGAATATAAAAAGGCTCTGCAGCTCAGTACTTAAAAGTCATTTACTGCTATCAATTATCCACCTTATTGTCCCACTAGAGGGGAAATTTTATTTTCTATTTCACACGTACTTCCATCTAGTTGGAGGGTTTTTGTTTGTTTTAGTAATGGAAAAGCATTTGCATTCAATGTATAAAGACAAAACAGGATTCCCCGGGGAAATAGAGCAATAAAAACAGTAGAAGGAAAAAAAATCAAAACAGACAAATGATTTACATAGTGTGGAGCTGACTATCACTGAACAAAAATAATTAAGAAATGTATTTTTTAGTTTCAATTATTTCTGCCTTATCAGTACATTTTGAGACTAAAGATAAAATCCCATAAAATTGAGTTCTCTATTAAATGTATAAGTTAATGGTATTTCACAGTATTTCAGAGGGGAAAAAAACATGTCAGGCTGCTGAGTGTTATTCGAAGGCGCAAATTTGTTTATTTTTCAGATGGTATAAACACCCCTCCTTTGCAAATATTATATTTTTATCACCAGATCTAGTAACTAAAGATGAAGAACTGTTTAACATGAAGGGTGTCGACCAAAGCTTTAAGTGTGCTTTCTAGAAAGAAGAAAAGATGCAAGAGGTAAACAGAGCCCCAGAGGTAACCACGTGATTAGAAACCAATTAAGTTATGCAATTACTGAAACTGCTTTCTCTCCTTTGGGCAAGAAAGGATCACAAGTGAGACTGATACAAAAATGAAAAATTATTACATGTAAAAACGCCAAAGTTGTTTTGGAAAAAGACTATTTTAAAGATAGCAGAACCGTTACATGGTAAAATGTTCAGAGATGTTTGATCAATGTAAATAGAGGATTTATAGTGTATTTGTTTAGAAATGCCAAAATGACAGGTTTAGACATAAACAGAGTTTTCATGGTTAAATTTAGTTAGTGTGCTCAAACAGGGGGAAAAACAGAACTAGGTAAGAGCAGGGAAGAAAGTCACCACTTGGGTCTCTTGGTTTTCAAGAGCTATTTTGTTTCCTTACTACATTTTAGAGGAATATGAAACTATTAATGCTTATCATTCAGAACTATAAAATTCCTCAACTCTAATTTCAGCATGTGGTACTTAACTTTTTAAAAAAGAGAACCAGCCTGACCCAGTTCAGATTTAATTACTTTGTGAAAAGCTAAACCAAACTTCTAATATTTTAGGCTAAATAAGTATGCTTCACAATTAAAATCAAACTATTCCACTACCTACCTGGTTTATCTCTCGCCCAGAAAATGTGTTTTAAAAAAGCTAAATGAATCTACAACAAATTAGACTTCTTATACATAAACCATTCTTATAAACTATTCATTCTTTTTGGCCCCTTACCCCGCCTAACAATCTTATCTATAAAGACATATTGCTTTAACTCAATGATGAATCCTGTCTATTGCTTTCAAATGCACTAACCTTCTCAAAAACACTGGATGGGGTCATCAAACAAAACCTGATGTTCTGAATGATGGTATCGGTATGTCTCCAGCGTCTTCTATCATGCCGCAGCCAAGACTGCACAGCCTCGTACAGCTCTATCTCTGGGAACCTGTTCAGATGATCATTATCCAAATAAGACATGAGCTTCTCAAAGCTCAGATAAGACAGGAAGTCGGGCCTGGACATGAGTGGCACAAAATTGTCTAGCAGAAAGGCGTCCAGCTTCTCCCTGACTCCCTCGATGTTTACACCGAAATCATCTAAGAGTCTCATAATTTCTGCACAATTCCCTAAGCAGATTTTCGCTAATAGAAAAGAGCAGCAGAACTTCACCACTTCTATAAGTTGAACATACATGGCAGCCTGAAGAATCTCATGAACAGTATTCATACTCAGTTCTATAGTTCCATAGTACATAAACTGAAGAACGTGGCTGAAACCAGTAGCAGTTAGACCTTTCAAATGAATTTTGTCCTGATCTCGTTCCCTCATGTCTGCAGTAAACATAATTCTGAAGTAATCACTCTGGGTGGCCAAGAGTGCTTTATGAGCCTGGAACTGATGATCTTCAATAACCAGAGTGACATCAAGAAGCAATCCCTCCTCATACAGTGCCCTGAACCCAGCAGAGACACTGGTGTCATGAATGGACGAACAGAATCCTTCCATGTCCCCTGCCATGAATCACCTGGAAAAAAAGTAATCAAAGAAAACTGTGTTAATCATTTCCATGCATTCTGAAGACATCATTAACTTAGAGCTTAAACAATTTTTATAATTATCTCAATTCCACTGCCTAAGTCCTAAATGCACAATCCCCTTGGGAGAAGAGAACCTAAAGATTTGCAAGCTAATGCTTTTGGTTTACCTACCTGGGGGGAAAATCTATTAAATATCTATCAATAAATGGTAAATTGTTAACTTACAAACATTATACACCTATCTCAATGATTTTCCGCTGTTTACCAAATATGTTTAAACATGTCCCCAAATTATCAACACAAAAAGGATTTTTCAGTCAAATACTAAATTATGAAAAACAAAAAAGAAATGAAACCAAAAGTACACTATTGACCTTGAAAACTCCTAGAAATGTACCCAAATGAAAGAATCAGATAAATATGCCAAGTTGTACACACAGGTTTTTCTTTCTAGCCTTATTCATAATAAAAAAAAAAATAGAAAGTATTCAAAAGCCCAATAATAGATTATTAACTAAATATGGTGTAGTCCTATAATGGATTACTCTAACAACTAAAAATGATGGCAGCAATCTACCTATTCTGACAAAGGATATCTATTAGGTATTGTTATATTTTTTTTAAAAGCAGGCAACTAACTGCAATATACGCAGTATATTTTCAAAAATTAAATAAACATAAATATGCTTAAATGAGAAAAAGTCTGGAGGAATATATACCAAAAAATGATGTCCCTGGGTAGTGGGATTTCAAGAAATTTTGAGGTTTATTGTTCCCATTTTACTTAGTAACCTTATTTTAAAAAATGATCATGTACTGCTTACATATTTAAAATATAAGAATGTAATTTTGAAAAAAAATTAAATCACATTTTTGCATATCTGAGAAATGAAGCCAAGATAGTGAAATTATAATTAGATCTCTTAAGTAAAGCAGAATAAACTAATTCAGTCCATGAGACTGTTTATGAAGTAATTTTCTCCTTTTCACACAACTCCATCCTAGGCCATCTATCCTCTCAATTCTCATCCTCACACAGCTCTGAGCCTCCTCCCCAACAACCCATCCTCTCATCTGTGAATTCTGTCCCAACCCTTTCCACTGTTCCCAGTGGAACTTTGACCTTCACTGTAAACAGATTCCCATACAGGCTCATGCTGGTCACAGAAAGTTTTCTCAGCAGCCTGATTTAAATAAGAAAAATACTCTTCTATATTCTTCAGAGAACAAAATACTCTTCTATTGCTTATACACCTACATTCTAAACCTTATCTTTCCACTGTCCTTTTTTTAAAACATGGCTTTTCACTCAGATAAAACTCCATCATCTGTTTCTCCTTGTCACTTAGGATATACACACATCCTGATCAGTCTCCCATATTCCCTGACAACTTTTGGCACCTGGCTAAGTGTCATCTTCTCTACCTCTTCAGTGCTCACCTAAGATCACTCATCCAAAAAGGAAGAATCAAAGTTCTCTGACCTCAACCCCTATAACCTCCTTTACTCCATTTTAAAACTGCATTTCCAACCCTGTTGGCCCTCACCACAATCCAGAAGCGGTCTACATTTGAAATCTTAACTGTCACTTTGCCCTCTCTGGCTTAACCTTTTCCTCTCTTTTCACTTGGTCCATCATTCTCCAAACTTTACCTCTGTCCTTCTCCAGCTTAGACCTTCTGGTATGAGACCCAATTTCCCAAGCTCTTTCCTTTCCCTAGCTGGGTGTTTGGATGGACCATGAGCCTTCTGGTGAAGCAACTGGCATCACTGTCACCTGCTTAACCTCCTTCCTCAGGGAAGCTGTTGCTGTCAATCTCACCACTCTATCATCAATGCCTCCTCCTTTAGTGACTAAAAGAAGAGCATCTCTATGTGCCAGGCACTATGTTAGGTATGGAGGTGTGTGCCTTTCAGTAATCTCTGTACCCTGGATTTGGCAGAGCTTTCAGTTGCTGAGAGTGAAAAGGCAGCTTCCACTGACACGCTAAAGGCACCACTTCTCCACTCCTGTGAGTAGGCTATCACTAAATTCTACTACTTTGTTTCATCGCTATGTTGCCTATGACATCCTGTACTTAATTTCTTGACATATTAATTGATGTAAGTGAGTAGTTATCTCAATCTACCCTGGATTTGGCAGAGCTTTCAGTTGCTGAGAGTGAAAAGGCAGCTTCCACTGACACGCTAAAGGCACCACTTCTCCACTCCTGTGAGTAGGCTATCACTAAATTCTACTACTTTGTTTCATCGCTATGTTGCCTATGACATCCTGTACTTAATTTCTTGACATATTAATTGATGTAAGTGAGTAGTTATCTCAATCTGGGGTCATCTCAAAAAAAAAAAAACTTTCATTAATTAAAAAAAAAAAAATAAGCCTGAAAGGATAATATCCCAAAATGTTAAAAATTTACCTTGGG